GGGCAGATGTCTGCGACGGTCCCGCATTGACAGGACTTGGGCCCGAGACGCCTTTCCCCGTCATTGAGCTTTCTGGTTCGATTTGGATGCGCCCTGGATGGTCCGTCACGTCTATACCGTCCAACCCGTCCACCTCTACGACGAGTTCTCCGTCTGCACCGCCGTACCGCCACGGCACTCTACTGAGCTCCGTTTGGTTCAACACCCATTCGGGGTCCAGTGAGAGATTTGCCGCAAGGGACCGGAGGCCCAGCATTATGCGCGACATGCAGACGGATGTGAACGCCATCATGAACCTGTTTGCAGTGCAATGTGAGCCATATGTTCCAGGATTTTTGCAAGCGTACTTACATGGAGAACACAGCTGGACCATAGATCTGCATGCCACTATGCGGTCAGCTACGCAGTATAGCTAGGTAGAGAAGACTCACGGTGGGGATGTCCGTTCGCTTTGCACCGACCAAGGACAGGCATACTGAGACTTGAAGTGACACCAAGTTAGCAAGGCTACGGGAGCCATGATCCAGGGAAATGACGAGGAAACACCTACTGAGCACAACTAAATAAACCAAGCCGTTACTAGAAGTTGCGGGAAAGCGAACGTCAGATGTTTCTTCTGTTGGAGGCAGAAAGCTGTGTAACGCACTCTCGCAGAAGACGTTGCACCACAGGCGTCCGCTTCATCCCGCTGCCGCGGTAAAATGCCCGGTAGGCCGTGAACATATAGAGCGCGGTGTGCAATACAAGTACAGGGAGGAAGATGCGCCAGGAGTTTGGATTTGTTGCGAGCACGCAGCCCACGACGGGGACAGGAAGTGATATGGCGACAAGATTTCCATAAGAAACCCCGAGTTCACTCACACCTGCCCCGATACATGCGACGTAAATGACGCAGACGAGTATTTGGGCGAATTTGGTTCGAGAGTATAGATACCAAATTCTTAGCACGACAACTGCTGGAAGAGGTACGGATGAGGACCAGTCCACTCAGTGTTCCGATTGAGCCTCACCTTGTCCTATCAATATCCCGGCGGTCTCCATAGTTGAAGCTGCGCGCATAGCTCTGCTGCAGCTGCCAATTGGGTAATGAATGTCAAACTCCCCGGCTTGCATTGTAGCGGTATATTTACAGCTGCAGACGGACTCCGTCACCATGGGCATCGTGAAAGTCGGCTGAGATTCTACTCACTATGGTGGAACCGTTAGGCATATAGAAGACTATGCAATCGGGTTTAGATTTGAAAACTGAGGATGCAAGTGAATTGACTTGCCAACGGATCCTAGTCTACAGTGGCAGGTCAGTAATCAAACAATGGTCTACGCGCCATTTAAACGATTTGAAGCACGTACATCATGGTGCACAGTGGGAAGTACCTGTTCTGCAGGTCCAGATAGGTCATTGCGCTTTCATACACTATGTGCTTTGCGTACACTCAAATATAAAATCCGTGATGCGCTCCACGAGCCGGACCAGAAGTACTCAACCTGTCGAGTCGGTCAGAATAGGGTATCACACAGAGGTCAACGCGTGCCAAACCCACCTCTTGGTCCAACATGAGCAGCCAGTCATACACTTGGAGCGAGAGCCCCGCGAGAAAGACACATCGAGTGGTGAATAGCCCGTGCAGAGCACTTTCTAACGAAGAAATAGAGCCTTCAGACATCTCGTCGCTATGAATTGTGGGGAGAATGCGGGGGATGAGCGCACCTCTACTTATGTGCCACGGCCGTCCTATTGATACCCTCAGAAAAGCTGTGACGCCTCAGCGCTCATCAAGGCATCCTTCTCCTTTTCTGTCGGATCCACCCGAAACGTGAGCTATGGAATCACCTACTACTATACTTGAGTACAGCGTTAAGATCGCGTCGCACTGCATCGATCGCTGATCTATCCCACTTATACTCTGCAGCACACTGTCTTGCGGAGAATGGCCTCACTGCATGAGTTGCACTGAAGTCCGAGCCTGCCGAAGGTCTACCCAATGGAGTAGAGCGGCAAGTGGTAGGCAATAGATTCACAAGAGGTTGTTCCCAAACGCTTCGAAGATCAAAGGAGAGACGCGCGCTGCAAGAACCCGCGCCCAGCACACGACATGAGCGGCTCGAGTATCGGGGGAAGTTCACAGAAGCTTGCAGTGGTCATAGGCTTTCGTCAATGGAGTATTTGATACGATAGCAAGCGAGAGAAGAACAGACCAGACAAAGTTAGCGTGCAAAAGATACAGCTGTATGAGGATGCCCCTTCCCTACGCTGGTGTGATCAAATAAGCGACCGTATCGTGCGCGGCAACGCTGACCGCGTAGCTGCTCGAGCCAGCAAACGTCCCCGCGACATCCGTCCCCGTCCACATATCGTGCAGTTTGTACGACCCACTGCTGTTCAACCCGGGAACACTTGCGAAATCGAAAGTTTTGGTCGCGTTGCTCGCAGAGATATTGATGATGAACACGTGTACGCCCTTAGAAGACGCGCCGGCATAGTACTCGGGAGGCGATGTGGTGGGCATTGACGATGTGGCGTTAAACGGAACCGCTGACGCTCCGACAGTCGTGTCCTGGTGGAACGCGAGGAGCTCAGGGTTCGAAATGATCGCAACTTGGTCTGTACTGAGTAGGCTAAGCTGTGGGCCCACCAAACGGTCTGGTAAGCGAGGCGCCGCTGTAATAACAGTACCATAGAACGTACGTCGGTCCCTAGAAGAATAGGGCTCTTCATGAACACCCACGCCGCGAAATGCGTGCGCTCCTCCTCCGCCGTGAAGTTGCCATTGCCGATTTCCATCATATCCATGTCATTGTGAGCGTAGAAGTCGACGTACGACAGATATTGCGCGTTCGTGGTAAGGATGGACGTGATGTACGACCAGGAGGCACTGCTGTCTCCGGACATTCTCCATGAATGACCCTGGAATTGATTAGAGTTGCATGCGAGCCCATCTGTAACGCATTCATATACGCACTACTCTTGCGCCCCACGTCCATACATTTGCAGTTCCTAGATCACACGCATGCGTCAGAAAATTTCTTCGCACCGTAAGTAACATTCCGTGGAAATCGTACCCCATATGCAAAGATCAAATTGGATGGGTCGCGTTTGAGGTTGTGCCGCGAGAGCACCGCTGTATGAACGGTCAATCAATCGCCGCACAGGGATTAAAACATAAGGACGTACGCCATTTGACGATAGCGGATGGCCGAATTCGAGTTACTGAAGTAGCGAATCCGTTCCATCAACGTGCAAGTGTTCCATCTGCGGAGCACTTACTACCAATCTCCATCTGGAGGAGTCTGCACAGATACGCATTCAGTGACAGGAAAAAATAATAGTGGAAGGCAAGCCTACACTGCTATCCGACCAGTTTCCAGGGACAGCACAATTGTCTGCATACCATGACCGCCGTGAATGGGCGTTGATTGCGAGGTTGACACGCAGCTCACCGTATTTCAAATCTGAAGAGCAAATGGTGAGCGAAACCGACGATACCCAAGGAAAAGATACTGACAGTCGAGACCCCAGCTACTGAAGGTTGAAGCATCGATGCTTTCGTATCCCAAGGAACCAGGGAACCCTGCACAAGTCGTACTTCCCGCATCTCTAGAATATTGAGATTAAGTATGGCAAAGTCCATATGTTGGCAGCATGTTAACAAACCCATAAATTCCTAGCTTGAGCCCTAACGCATGCACTTGGTCCGCGACCGCACTGATTCCGTTGGGGAACTTGGCGGGGTCTGGTACAATCTGCTGTGTAGACGAATTGCGGGACATCAGGGCCCAACAGTCCTGTAGAGGGATAACATGAGATGAGGTCCGCGAATAGACATTCCTTGATATGCGCACATCTATATTGACATATTCGTAACCAGCGTCCTTGAGGCCGAGAGAGACGATCGAATTGGCTGCTGCCAGAACTTTGGCCTCACTGATTGCTGTAAAAGATGACTGAACATCAGATATGTATGGTTTCGAGGAGCATGTAGTAGTCTCACCACAGCCGTAAGCGTTCCAGCCATTCCAACTAATTATCCAGGGTTAGTTCAGCAGTCACGGTCTGGCACTGGGAAACGAGATACTCGCCCCAGTGCAGGCGTTTTGCCAGTGGCTAAGCTTGGGCCAGCAGTAGGTGCAGAACCAGCAAGGCCCGTAAGAGACGTGGTAGAGGTTGTGGTCGCGGAGCTAGCACTAGGTGCAGAGGTTGCACTGGGTGCACTCGGCAATGATGTCGCGCTAGGGAGACACTGCGAATAGTACTCGTTGCTCTGCACACAAGTCCAACTGCGACACATTTAATATCAGAAAGTTTGTCGTAGAAGAGGCTAAATCAATCGAATTACCCTGCGACACAGGTTGTGGCACCAGACCATCCCGTTCCACCACATTGCGCGTCTGTTCGTCGGGAGTAAGTCTTCAATGATGGTGTAGCTGAGGAGTTTGGCTAAAACGTACACTCCCCGGCCTGGGCGTAGACGGTTGAGAATAGCAACACTAAGGTATACGCGGTCAGCATCGTCGCAAAAGCGAGAAAAAACGCACGGTCCAGTGGTCAGGATGCATTCCGACGCTATATAAATTCTGAAGGCCTGACGAGAGAACATATGCATACGGTACAGTGCTCTCCATCCCCGTACGGCGGACCGGCATATGATTGCTCTGCCGTCGCCTGTGACCACAGATGAGGACCGATATAATTCCTGTACATTCAGAATGCATTCCAAGAGGGGAAAATATCGGACATTCCACGCGGAGACGAGGTCATCCGAGCGATGTGCGACGCAGGTGATGCACTTTGCCTGGTGGACACTGAACAACGGGTTCGAGCTTACAGGCGACAGAAGTACAGCACGAGTTGGCAAAACAGGATGCCACGGCAAGATTTGAAGCGTATGATAACTCAAACATTGGGTGTGTATGCCAAGGAAGATAGTAGTACAAGAGCAAGCTAGAGCAGAAGTGGTGACCTCAGCGAGCGCTTGCTCCAGTCAAAAATGTTACAAAACGAATTCCCTCTAGCCGATTTGAACGACTGACCTCGTCATTTCGAATTTACTAGTGACGCGCTCTACCAACTGAGCTAAGAGGGACGTTTTCGGTTATCGACATTAAATCATGACGATTACAAGAGTCTTGAAAAGAACAAGTAGAAAGGCGGGCCAACGAGCGTGAAGTGAAGCCTTCGAAGGTACAAATTAAACCAAGTTCCAACTCAAGTCAAGGTTCAAATCGCGTCGCCGTCCTTCTACTTTCCTCTGGCAGGGCTCAGGCGTTCAACGTCCAGCAAGCATCTTGCGCAGAATGAGTGGAAACGGGAAACGAGAGCAAACGACGAGAAAGAAAGGCAAGCCGCCGCCCTTGTGGTCCGCGGCTCCGAATCTGCCTCCGTCTCTCCTATGTTTGACAGAGACGAAATTGACGCAGGCGGTATGTACGATTCAATTCTCCTCGAGCGGTTCACTTACGCGGAATACATATGGCCAGCACATGAACATCCTAGTCTGCGAGAAAGAGTTTTTGGCAGTGGTCGGCACGGAAGGACTACCGTGACCGTGACAAGTGTACCCCGGGCCTACCTCTGAAAGACGCGCGCACGAATGGCATCTATGGGCTGCTTTTTTCCTGATATGACAGCGCAAGCTCCTCAGACTGGTTAGGAGCATGTATGGTCTCCCTCTGGTCAGACTTTCAATGCAACTGATTACTGTTCTTGACTCGTTTAGATTCAGGCTAAAAAAGATGCCTGACCTCAGCGCACGTACCGGGGGTCAGCCGCACGAAAGGTCTCGGATGTGCTGAGGATGCAGAGTATCTTCACTGTTCACTCCAGTTGACAGTCTTGCTTTTCACTGACAACATCCCACTCTCCTCGTCATGGCAGGCTTTGGTGATTCCGACGACTATTCCATCTACTCCCAGCCTATGACCAGGGACAGTTCTAGAGCCGACTCTGACCCTCTACCAACTCCCGTGGATGAAACGCCCAGTGGAAGACCTGTTAAAGCAGGATTGCAGGGACCACGGGGCATGAACACGAGACAGAACAGCGCGAACACTCGTTCATCCACCCCAGGTTTTAGCCGGCAATATAGCACGCCGCTGGAGATGGTCAGGGAATCGAGCCATTACACCTCTGAGGACACCCAAGTGCGCAATCTAGCCGGCACAAAAGACGTCACGATCAACACCCTTCAGCACCACCGGTCCACCAAGCTGCTCATCAGCCGCTACGAATCCATGACACCCGTTGCTCCGACCATAACTCATGTATCGTCCCGCGTGCCGAAACGCAGCGACCAACTTCCTCCGCCCACCTCTTTGAAGAAGGGCAAGGGCAATTCCCCGATCCGTCGTTCGCTTCGCAATTTTCTTTCGGTATTCAAGAAGGGAAAGCACGCGACCAAATACGACGATCCTGGCGCCCTGTCAACTCCATATATCCCCGAAACCTCCAGTTTTAGCTCTGCGAACGCGAATCATGCGTCCACATTATACAACATGTTCGTGCCCGATTTCAGTACGTCGCTGACAAGAATCAATCTGGATGCACCAGAGAGCGCCCCTCCTAGCTCGGCTTCTCTGCGATCTGGACCTTTGCTTTATTTATCACAACCCGACGAATCATCGCCCATGCTTCCGGTGTGGACAACCTGCACCGTCTCACTGCAAAGCGACCGCGTTATCATCACTTGGCTGTCTAATCAAGGAAACCCATCTACGCACACCATCTCCCTCTCCGCATGTGTCGATGTGCGCTCAATGACGCTGGGCGAGATGGGGTCTAATGAGAGGGATCTATTGCCTGAACAAGGCGAAGGCGCCCAGCTAAAGGTGTTCGAACTTCAGTTCGAAGCAAAGCCGAGAGAGAAATTCGCAGCGACGAGTGTGCAAGAACGCGCAGGATGGGTTGGCGCTATCTGGTAAATTACTATCAGCGTTCTGTAGCATCCCACTGACAATTTTCGCTCGTAGGGATGCGATTTTGCAATCGCAGGAGAAGAAAGGAGCCCACGCTCCTGAGGTTCGCCCCGCGGTCATTAATCTCTCGTCCCCCGTTGCATCTGAGTCCGAGTGCTCTGCACGGTCGATTCTGAGCGCGCTTGGGACGCCGTCTACCTTGACCACGCCTTCGCGCCCCCGCGATGAACGCTCCTTACCACCCACGCCCCATCCCTTCACCCCTTCCACAAACGTACGCACTTACAAACGCATATCTCTGCATGATTCTCCCCGCCAGCCCGCTCAGCCCATCGCCACCCCCTTGAGTCTGACCTCCCCCCGTGACTCGTTCTCGGGAGGCCTCTCGCCTTCTCCGTCCGCGCGGCGCTCGAAGAGCCCATCGATAATGAACCTCGGCAGCCGTTCTGTGGTGACCCAGCGTCTCGCGCAGATGGAGCGGACGTATTCGAATACGTCTACGCCGGAGACGACCGTGCCTTGGATTGCGCGCCGGAATACTCAGAAGACGCTTCCTGAGGAGCCGCTGTCTTCGCCGGCGTCCCAAGTGTCGAGGACGGCTTTTCAGGAGCCTAGTCATCTGGAGCGCAAAGGGAGCATTGTCCAGAGCGAGGGTTGGCGGTCTGTCTATAATGGCGAGGACTCGACGCCGTCGAAGCCCTCGGCCTCACGGATGTCTGATCAACAACCACTCGCGTCTCCTTACTCTCCTGGAGCGTCTGCTACGGGGAGCCACTTGACTGACGTCTCCGTTCATCGTGTCAAGTCGGTAAAGAACCATTTCAAGAGCGTGCCCATCGAAGTGACTATCCAAAACCCCGTTGAAGACCATTCTGCCTGCGTGGGGAATAACGTATTCGGTGCCCTTGAAGTTATCGGCGAAGGGATCGACGGCGTCCAAGCTCAAAACCAGGACGCGGGGAAGGAACTGAAAGGCATACGCGAGAAACTGGAGGACATCGGGCAAGGGCTCGGGCGCACTGCAAAGGCGGATTCTGATATCGTTCAGACGTTGCATGGCATGCGCGCGCAGCTGAACGCAGGTCTGCCCGCCATCCTCAAACAGCTCGAGGGCGTTCAGGTCGAGGTTCGAAAGGGCGCTGTCGCTCGTGCGGTACCCACAAGGATGAACAACATAAAGCCGGCTTCGTTCGATGGATTGCCGAATACTCCTGACCTGGACAACACGGGCTCTATCTCCCATCTCGCTGAGATCCACACCAAGTTGGACGGGCTCATGCACCTCAGCAAGGGCGGGCGATCTCCTATGGCAGGTAAAGAGCAGATAGCGCCCGCAGCAGGTGCCGAAGAGCTAGTCAAAGAGGTATTGTTTTGGATCCGTACCTCGACCCTTCCAAATTTAACTAGTCATATCTCTAGCTTCGATCTGTGCTTGCACTACTCAGGAAGGACGAAGGCCTGCGGGAATCTCAAGCTGAGCAACAAGCCGATAGTGTTCGGTACCTCAACGAACTCAACTCGGTACATCCTCCCGTTTCTTTGGCATTACTTTCGCTTACTGTCCTTTTTTTCACTAGTGGCTTGAAGCGTTTGTAAACAACGGCACCTCTCAGATACAGGCGGTGGCGTCCGGGGTCGAGCGCCTCCGCGAGGAGCTTGGCTGCGGCAGCGAGATGCGAAACATCCCAGGACACCGGTACACGGACCAGTCAGACGGACTCTTAGCGAATATACGCCAGCTGTTGGCCCAGAACAGGGATCGAGAACAAGACGCTCAGGGCCTGAGGGTCGCCGTCGACGGTCTAGTCGGTGTGGTTCAGGAAGACCTGCGCCAGAAAGGTGCCGCGCAATTGAGTAGGTCGTGCTGTCTTCTTCTGACTTGGCTATGCTAACTGTAAACTCATAGCGACGGATGCCGTGGCTGACTTGATTGAGAAACAACGTCAAGACCAACAGCATATGCTCAGAGATCTCGCGATAGGTTCGTAGTCTCACCGTTGAGTCCTATAACTGGGGCTGATCATGTTGCAGAATTATCGAACGATATACGGGGAGAAAGGCTTCATTTCGTAGACGCCATGAAGGAGGCAACGGAGATAAATGTTCAAGGTAAGCCATTGGAACATTCTCGGATGTTTCTCATACTGAAAGACTATCGTTGCAGCGCATGTCGAGCAGTTCAAGAAGGAGCTTACTCGCGAGGTCATGGCTATGACGCAGGAAGTTGGACGCTTGCACCGCGAAAGGCAAGGCATGGAACAGCAGATCGCGGATCTGTTTGCATTCTACTCGAAGCAAAAACAAGCTGGAGCTGTGAGCGTCTTATAAACGTATTTTGTGGACGTCGAGCTGACTGCCTTGATAACAGCCTATTCCTCAGCGAGGTCACTCACAACCTGGGGCACCATCGGCTGCACCGTTACATTCTCGTTCCGCTTCATCTCGACGGCCGCTTCCTAGTCCAAGTCGCGGTCGATGATATCTGCGTATTTCTCTCGATTCGCTTCATACTTAAGGGCAGTATTATGGATGGCCAGTATCATCGTGTAGGCAATATATATACAGGCGAGGACCGGGGCGGCAAGTTATCATTGGTGAGGAGACAGAGAGGTCCCCCACATATGCGGTGGAATTTTTAAGATGTAGTAATTGAGAAATAATATACAACCAAGATGCGTCGGGACGAGAGGAGATGGGTATTGAGCCTTGGTCAAGCTAGATTTGGTTGAATGAACCGAGCGGTAGCCGCAATTCTGACATTCTGCGGGACTACCGTATGCCTAGGATGTATTTAAGCATAAACAAACGTCAGCAACTACGAGCGTGGCTCACTCATAGTACGTCTGGATGTCAGCACCATCCATGACCATGACATCTCCCTGAGCTCTCATAAGATGTCAATATTCTGAGTGAACTATAGATTACTCACATGCCGCAAAACGAGAGTAAGTGCAATCCTTGAGCCACGCTCTTTCTCCGGGGAAAAACGAGAGAGGAGACGGAAATGCATCAGCGCAGACGATCCTAATGATAGCGACGCCACCATAGGGCCAAGTCCTTTCTCTGCATCGCTGTGAAACTGATTCTATGTTTAGCTAATTGTACACATCCTTGACGATAGAGCATTTACCGCCATTTTTTGTCGTTCCATATAACCTGCACTTAGAATCTC